TGTAAAAATCGACGCGTTTCAGAAAGGCGGGGCATAGAGGAGAAACAATAATGTACAGTATGTGGAAAATAATGTATTTTTTTAACCTTAAACCGCAAACATATTTCATTACACCAAATACACAAAATAATGTTCTTTTTAGCAATATCATATGACCCCTTTAAAAGGTGTCACTTACTTCAGTTCATCGCGACCTCACAAAGTTTCTTTGTAATCAATGAACCTCTTATTTTCATTGTGTTACAGTCAGTGAGAGGATTCAAAATCCGGTGTTTAGCCATGAGTGAATTCTGACTCATTTGAACGGAATGGCCAATCAGAGGTGTTCAAGAAATCAACAGAAATGACTGTGATTGGCTACATTGCTCAAAAACACGTTGTAAAAACTTGACACATTTCTGGACCTTTATAGGGAAACAACCAAGTGAACAAAACTATATAAATGACATAATAGATGAATGAAGTGTGCACTGTTTTTTATTTATTTATTTTTTAACATGATTCCCAATTATTTATTTTCAGGATTTCTACTATTTGTACAGGATTTAAATTTTTATTTCAATGTTGTAATTAGCAATTCATGTAATTTTATCTTTGAAGCAGATTTGTTGTGTGACAGCAGTTTCTTAAGGGTCAAGATCAAGCTATCTGCATCTCCTGCGCTCCATCAAGTAACTCCCATAATAGCTGTCACAACTCAAATTAATGCACGACTCAGATTAAGACACTGATACAATTATAAAGTAATTATTTTATCACAAATAAATCTTTCAATGAAAAATAAATAAAACGGGCTGTGTCTATAGTATTATAGATTACACAACATATAATATTGTTTTCAAATTATTTTTTTAATTACTATTTTAAATTATTGTCCCTGGATTAGTAGGGTACTCTTGTAATAGTAGCAGTGGCTGGGACAGATTTTAAGTATCAATTCCACTTAAAAAGATGCAATCTAATCCTGTTTACATGAAATAAGCCTGCTCCCGACCTGTTGCTATGACAGCAAGTCCAGGATGAGATTTGAAGACCAAATAATCCAAGATCATGCCAAATCGTCAACAATCAAATCCAGCAGAGTTAGCGACATACGAAGAATGGGCCCCTGCATTGCATCGTTTTATTGTTATTATTGTCATTGTTATTATTCACTCTGTGCAAGGCAAAATGCCTTTTCATCATCTTGTCATCTTTCACTTATCTCTTTTTTAATATTTGATGTGTTCAAACATTCACATTGACACAAATACATCATGTTTACAATATAGGCCCAAATGTCAACAAAATGGAAATATATTATTCACAATATAAATGTCAAACAATGTAAAAAGTTAATGTTGCTTCATTTTAAATCTAAAAGTTTTTGTGACACACTTTTCTAGTGAGCTTCCCTTGTGGAACAGAAGTGAATAAGAAAATACAAGAAGTTTAACTGTATTGAATGTGCATTTGTAGTGTACTTCGAATCTTTAAAATCTTTACAAGTACCTAAGCAATGTAGACAGCGTCGTTAATTAAGTAACCTGTTAATTCGATTATTGTTGTTTCACATTCACACAGCATGTTAAAACATCACACTCTTACTTGATCTGGAGAAACTGTGTATCATTAGAAATATTAAAGGGGTCATATGACGTTGCTAAACAGAACATTATGTTGTGTATTTGGTGTAATGCAATGTGTTTATGCGGTTTAAGGTTAAAAAAAACACATTATTTTCCACATAATGTACATTATTGTTGCTCCTCTATGCCCCGCCTTTCTGAAACGTGTCGATTTTTACAAAGCTCATCGTTCTGAAAAGCGAGGTGTACGCTGATTGGCCAGCTATCCAGTGCATTGTGATTGGCTGAATACCTCAAGCGTGTGACTGAAATGTTACGCCCCTTACCATACTGTGATGCCGTATCTCGGTGCGATGAGACAACACTAATAAAACCCATTACAAACTAGGCATTTGTTGCATCCAGTGGGGACATAATTACTGATTATAATGACTTATACTGTCTTTTTACGCGTTGCGTATCATAAAACCATGTCTGCATTTGCTCAAAAATGACCAAAGAGTTTCTATATTTTTCCTTTTTAAAACTTGACTCTTCTGTAGTTACATCGTGTATAGTACACGACGTAACTACAGAAGAGTCAAGTTTTAAAAAGGAAAAATATAGAAACTTTTTGGTCATTTTTGAGCAAGATGCTAACGGTCTAATCAGATTCAATGATCTATGCTAAGCTACAGCTAAAAGTGCTACCGCCAGACCCGGAGATAGGCTTAATGGATTCGAAAACGGTAAAACTCAACTGTTTAACTCTAGGGGAGTTGGAAAATGGGCCTATTTTCAAAAATAGTGGCGTGTTCCTTTAAGTTCAACTAATTGCATTTTATATCAATTTAAACTACGGTACATTTAATGGTTACATTCAGTTCCCACTTAAATATATTATTTTAAAGTATATTATTTTCATAGTAAGCACTCTTTTTAAAAGTATGTCAAATTATATTTTTCTTATTTGAATGTTTTAATTTATCAATATTTGGCTTCTTCTAACTAGTTTTAAAGCTCCACTGGTTCAAAACCTGTGCATGATGTTTCATGTCACATGACTTCCTGCAAATGCATCTCAAAGCAGTCATTTCATGCCTTGTAATTTTTCTCTATAAAGTGCATACAGCATTCAGTCAGTACATGTGGAGGCAATTTGTGCTGTTAGCACTTTGCCATCATATTACTTAATTTAAGTGGCTTTCATAAGCTTTCATACAGTGGCTAAAATGGACAAAGACTGTATGTATGGTTTCCATTTACTTTTCTTTTGCCCATGGATTTACCTGAAAGAGAAAAATTTCACATTTTGTGCTACTTTTGAGAGTTTGATTAAATGAATAATGAATTATTAGTCTGCATTAAGGAGCGCACAACATATGAAATTGAACTGGAATCAAATGTTGAGTCTTGTTCAATTTGTACACCATTAATATTTTTATTTTTTATTTTTTTAGACCAAAGCTGGACAGTTTTTCAGCAGTGGCCACACCAACAACTGGGCAGTCCTGGTAAGTTTTAATTTTGAGAATTTATAAGAATTTATAATGAATACAAATCCTAAACATGTATTTTTGGTAGTAAAACATAACAAGACAACAACATATGATAAGCAAATCATTTTCAAATGCTCAACATGGTAAACTAGATTTATCCTGTGACAACGTAGAAGACATTTTATATAGCAGTAGTTCTGAACCTTTTTGACTTCAAGAACCACCGATGCCCACAACAATATTCAAACACCTCATCCAAGTTATTTGTGATTTAAGATACAGACCTTTTATTTTAAGAATATTTTATTCATTATTTTAGAGCTTGGCATAACTAGTAAGAAGTATATATTTATAAAATGTATAAAATGCCCATGGAGTTTACATGAATTTATATGCTCATAATTTACATGATGATTTTTCCAGGTTTAGAAATCACAATTTTAAAATCAGACTTTGTTTTTTAAACAGTGGTATAGTTTTCTTCAAAGGAAAAAAAATGAGGTGGGTGAGTCCCCCTTAGAAGTTTGCTGGGGCCCCCTAGTGGGCCCCGACCCACTGTTTATGAACCACTGTATTATAGTCAGTATTGTTATTGTTAATTAAAACTATATTTAAAATAGTTTTTGATAATTCAAATAAAGCTGAATAAAATATACATATTAATTACATATAAATACATATTATATTGCATATAAATACACTTAAACTTAAAAGTTGAAGTTATAAAATTACTACTACTATTACTAAACTAACAGTAAAATAAAAATATATTAAATCTAAATAGGAGAAGAAGCAAGACAACAAAGACATTTGGTTAATGCTGTTTAACCATTGTTTTAGGCTGCTGTTATAGGTTTTGTAAAAATAGGGATTTATTGCCGGTTAGCATTAATGTAATTAAGGGTACATATAGATAAATTGTACTAGCATATAATAGCAATAATAGAAAAGAAGAAGAAGAAAAGCTAATTTAGACATATTACATGATTTTATAATGTTTTTTGAATTTCAGCTTGCCAACATGTTTTCATAATTGCTGCTTTTTGCCATGTTTTTTGGAGTTTATAATCATGTTTATGTCTAGGTCTGCACGTCTAGATTCTGGTTTAATTATCGGCATGTGGCGAACACGTTGTCGGTATACAGAAGTGTAAAGAGACTGGGCATTCCAGACAGGTAAACTTACTCATTTGCTTCAATTATGCTCTAAAGCATCTTCTCAAGACACATTTAAAAAACAGTGGCCTGTTGAACGACAATATAATTGGACCAATCTATTGTATATCAACAATTTTTGCCTCCTGGCATCCTCATTACACAGTGACACATTATTTAAATGTGGAGAAAAATGGAGAAAATATCTGTTTTCTCCAGAGATAGCTGCATGTGTGCTCTTTTGTCACACCGAGTCAGTGATAGTTGTGTTCCTGTCTGCTCTGATTAGATGTGTTTGCTCTGCTTTCCCAGTCACATTGTGCTGATGCTAGCCGATGATATGGCCTGTAACTATAGAAACCCCAAACCAGCCACTGTGTTCAGTCATAAGAATATGGAGCTGAATGTGTATGGAGATGACGTGGAGGTGGATTACCGCGGATATGAGGTGAAGCTGCTTTTGGTTTTAAACTAATATCACTAATATTGGTTGTTAGTAAGGCTTGTTCTGTTTCAGCACAAGAAAATGTTTAAACTTAATGAAAATATTTCTAAACGAAGTCAAAGCAGAATCGACTATTGCTTGTCTCTGAGCAGCACACAATAGTGATGTTTCCTGAATGATTGGTGTTTTTATTTTAATTTCTTTAAGAACCAATTACTCACTTTTAAGGACAGTCATTTTTGAGATGCCATCTTTTTGTGGCAGGCCTTATTTTAAAAGCATTTCTTTTTGTTTTACAGGTCACAGTTGAGAATTTTCTGCGAGTCCTGACAGGGCGTCTCCCCCCCAGCACCCCTCGATCCAAACGTCTGCTTTCCGACGACCGCAGCAACATTCTCATCTACCTGACAGGTCAGACCGGTAACAGCCTCATTACTGGCTTTTGCATTTCTTCTTTTTTTTCTGAATCTGTGGGTCTCTGTTTTCACAGGTCACGGTGGAAACGGCTTCCTGAAGTTCCAGGACTCTGAGGAGATCAGCAACATGGAGCTGGCTGATGCTTTTGAGCAGATGTGGCAAAAGAGAAGGTTATTATTGAAAGAGATGCAGTGGACACACAGTAACTGTAGCATCTTGATTTATCACATATGATTGATTTATGACATATTGATTTATGACGATCTCAATCTTGTGGTGAAAGATCTGTGCTGGTAAATGAATGGTTATAGGTTTGAATCCCACCCCCTATCTATGGATATCACTGTTATACCCTTGACCGAGCCACTTAACTTTGTGTTGTTACAGAGAGACTGCAGCTATAACAAGTGTACTGTAAGATGATTTGGATGAAAATGTGTTATTATTATCACTAAATAATATTATTTATATATTATTATGATTTTTAAAATTAAATACTACTACTACTACTACTACTACTACTACTACTAATAATAATAATAAGTATTATTATTATTCTTGTTGTGTAGTCATTTATGGTTTCCTTAAAGACAACCGTGTGAATGTGGCCTGAGACAGTTGAAGTGGATATTTATCTATTTATTTAGTTTGTTTTTTAAAAAATATACAGGATCTAGGCTGAATTTGTCCCTATATCCTCATGCACTGTAAGTTCATCCCTGATTTATTCAAGAATAAAACAACGACTATCTTTATTAGCACTCAACAGATTCATACAAAATTAGATTAATTTAGTAACGGCTTGGTTTCATTTAAAACTATTTTCCTTGGAGGAGGAAAAATAAAAGTACTTAAGTTACTCAGTATAAATGTTCATTGAATGCTTGTTCAACCGTTGAATAAAAGCAATGTCACACTTCCAGTCGTATCAGCAAATGTATTCATTCAGCTTAATAATTGTGTACTTAATGCAGAGAGCAAATAGCAGAAATTGACCAAAACAAATTCCAAAACGCACATTAAATGACATCAAAGCACAACATAAAATATGCAATCTAGCCTTCATTGTGTGACTCCTGGACACAGTGTTGATGTACATGGCTGAAGCGCTGCAGCTGCCTAACATATTAATTGTATGTTATAAATGCCCTAATAGTCTGTTTAGGTTCCAGCGCAGTGTAAATATTGTGGGAGGCTAGAGTGAGGTGTAATGAGAGCTTCCTCTCTTCCTGTAGAGGACTACAGCACAGGATGTTTTGTGCCTGTCAATGTGGTAATTGCAGGCTTGATCCAATAACTTAGTAAAGCCCCTTTTGTGCTTCATTGCTCCTCCATTACATCTTAGGTTCATGCGATATCAAGCCTTCTCATTCGCTCTCTCTCGCTAGTCAGAGATGGCCAGAAGTGGTTTCTAATTTTTATTATATATTTTATTTTGTGAATGGAGCATTAATGGATGCTGGGTTCTTGGTTACCGTGGCAACGGCTTGCAGTGAGTGCTGTGTTGGTTGTATAGTGAACGTGGCTCAGACAGCCTTGATCCCTGTGCTGCAGGTCAGATCTGGCTATTATTACTTCACAACCGGCTTTAATTATAAATTACATTAGATTGCAATGTTATAAGAAGGAAAGTAATTTAAAACTGACAAGAATCAACCGGCTCTAAAACGGCCTCCTTTCTTTGCAGGTACAACGAGTTGTTGTTCATCATAGACACGTGCCAGGGGGCCTCCATGTATGAGAGGTTTTATTCGCCCAACCTCATGGCCCTGGCCAGCAGTCAAGTGGGAGAGGACTCGCTCTCAGTGAGTCAAACCTTCTGCTCTTGATCTTCTGCACTCCTGACAATTAACATTAGTTGTAGCTGTTGGATATTATTACAATTCTGCAGAACCTTTGAAAATCATTGACATAAAAATCATAGACAACAAAGTTTTTGGAGCTTAAATGGATGGGAAATCAGGATGATTTGGGACATGATGAGGTCTGGGATCAAACCAAACGAGCATCAAGGATAGGTGTGTTCCTGGAACGTGTGCTAACTGCTTTGATTAATTAATCAGCTTTATAAATTCATGCTGACCAAATTTAATATATGGCTTATGGATCATTACAGTAAGATATTTCAGATTTTAAAAAAAGAAATTAATACTTTTTTTTAGCAAGCATGCATTAAATTAATAAAAAGTGACAGTAAAGACATTTATAATGTAACAAAATAATTTTATTTCAAAGAAATCCAGTTCTTCTGAATGTTCAAATGTCCAAATCAGCATATTAGAATTAGGATTAGAATGATTTCTGATGGATCATGTGAGACTGGAAGATATCACATTTAAAGTAAATGAGAATACTTATTTTAAATTGTAGTAATATTTCACGATATTACAGTTTTTACTGTATTTTTGATAAAATATATGCAGTCCTTCAAAAACAAAACCAAACAAAAAATCTTACCGACTTCAAACTTTTGAATGTAAGTGTATCTAAGATGTTTAATCTGAGCAGCTATGTGAGCATTGTTAATCTTGTTAATGAAATTATTTATGAAAAATTTTTCTGAATGGTTTGTTACTATTTTGTCTAGTGTAATAAAGATGAGGCAGAACAATATGTACAGTATCATGGCTATACTTTTCATTAAAACATACTTTTTTTTTGTTGAATATATGCTTTAATAAATGTTTACAAATTTTTTAAATGTTTCAAAATTTGATAAAATATGTGAAAAAGAATACAATTTGACAAGATAAAATTAATAGAAATAACAATGTGATTAATAAAATATGACGAAATATGGGATACATTTAAATGATTTTTTTGTCAAAAGACAAAGTGTAAATAAACCTCTGTTAATACTTTGCATAAAAAGCATTACACGTGCAAAAAAAATTTATTGCAAACATTTTTTTATCGTTTTATCTAGTCACATTGGACTTGGTGTGAACAGGCTACAATACACTAAACTAGACTAGACTCTACATCTGTACACCATGACTCCGTAGAAAGCCCTGAACATTTATAGTTAATACAGATTTTAAATTATTAGGAGAGTATAGAAGATTGGAATTGGTTCACCTGTATTGTTTTGTCCATACAGCATCAACCAGACTTGGCAATAGGGGTCCATTTGATGGACAAGTACACCTTCTACTTACTGGAGTTCCTGGAGGAAGTCCACCCCGCTAGCCAAGCCAACATGAACGATCTGGTAAGTGTGTGTGTGTGTGTGTTTGTTTGGTGCCTGTTTATAATTCCAGACAAATGATAAGGAGAATGCTTTATCCACTGGGACGAACTGAACTTAAAAAGCGTCCGTCACAAAGACGTCCTGTGTCGCCTCAGATGAAAAGAACGGCCTTGTGGAGCACAGGTCTCTTAGCACGCCACTTTAAACAGAGTGGCTAATACAGGTGTAGGCCAGACAGCTTTGAAACAGTCAGGAGGGAGACCTTTTCTCTGAAGGCCTGGGTGAGCTTGAGTTTCTCTTCCATTCATCTGTGTGGTTGGAGTCCCACCAACTCCCACAATCCATTTTGATCTCTCCTGCCCTCCACATCCTCTCTGCTTGGCACGGTGCTTCCCTGATCAAACCAGTCCAACAACAGCCTCTTTTCTGGTGCTTTTTTGTTCCCCGTGCTCTTCTCTCGCTCTCTCTCCATTCTGCTGGATTAGCAACAATATTATTGATTTCCCGTGGGAGAAAGAGAGAGGTTTTAATGTTGATGGAAAAGGGCCACTTGAACTCTCATGAATGATCTCTCGCATGAATGATCTCTCTTTCACTGTCATCAGAAGGTTTGCGGAATTTCTTTCTGGATTTCACTGTGCACTGGGAGTTGTGCTAGGAAATAATGCTCTTCTATCGCCAAAGGTTCATTTAACTTAATTCTGAAATTGCATCAAGTACGCTCTTAAAATTGGCCTCTGAACTGGATGTTCAGTAAATGTTGTTTAGAAGCCAGGTCAAGGTTGGTTTGTTATTCCAGCTATAAATACATATATAGTTCTGTTCAAAAGTTTGGGGTCAGTAAGATTTTTTACTTTTTGTTTGTTTTTATTTGTTGTTGTTTTGAAAGAAATCAGTACTTTTATTCAGCAAGAATGAATGAATAACATTCACCAAAGTGACAGTAAAGACTTTTACGTTGTTGCAAAAATGTCTGTTTCAAATAGATATTCTTTTGAGCTTCCTCTATCCTGAAAAATTGTCATGACAGCTGTTTTCAACAATGATAATAATAAGAAATGTTATATATATATATATATATATATATATATATAGAATGATTATTAGAATGATTTCTGAAGGATCACGTGACATTGAAGACTAAAGTAAATGCTGCTTCAGCTTTGCCATTGCAGGAATAAATAGCATTTTATATCATATTAACAGTCATAAATCTATTTTAATTTTAAATTGTAATAATATTTCACAATGTTACTGTTTTTACTATATGTTGATCAAATAAATGTCTTAATGAGCATAAGAGACTTCTTTCAAAACATTTAAAAATCTTGCCAACCCAAATCTTTTGAACAGTAGTGTAAAGGGTGAGATGTTAAAATGTTTATATTATTATTATTATTATTATTATACTGTTGATGTTAATTAGACTGTATTAATAATGGAATTGCTGAATGGTGATGTTTTCATTTATAGCTGCTTTTTCTTTTCATTAACATTCAAATCAATAATTTACAAAACGACTGGGTCTTTAATCCAAATGTTGTTGTTTTTTGATTAGCATTTACAGCTTATTTGTTGCATTAATTCTCAAATGCTTTTATTTATCAAACATTTTCAAAGGACCTCATTCTTGATGTTTTTGGTAAATTGTATTAAATGATTCTGATTAGGTAGGCTTGAATCATTTTAAAACCATTTTATATTGACCTGTTTACAGTGAAGCAGGATAAACTATGCAGTCGTTATTGTTTGCTGATATGCTTCTGCACATGTTCCTGTTAAATCAAAAACCTTAGTCCACATTACTGGTCTTATTGTGCATTATTCATATGTTCACGCTATTCCAGAGGGGGGAAAAATGTCTCCATTTCCCCGTCATGATCTCAATTCCCAGCAGGTCAAAATTTCCATTCTTTCCACAATCAACTGCAAACCCGCATTCAGGTCTGGCTCCATTCTGATACAGAAAGTCCACTTTTCACAATCCAATCATTTCCCAGTGGATAAAATCAGACATTATTGAATCTCATTCAATATTCCGTTTCGTAATATTCATTGAAATATGTCACATTGGGGAAGAAAAAAATGAATTGTGAATGCAATTTAATGTCGACCCCTCCCCCCACACACACCCCATTCCAGCTGGATAGGATTGGTTATTAAAATATTTCATCCTGAGGTCATAGATAAAAGGATGATTTAGAGCTTAGGGTGAATTAAGAGTCAAAAGTCCCAAATTTAGATGTATTAAATGTTTAGATAATGACCTAAACCTCACCGAAACTGGTCACATAGAGAAGCATTTGTTTTAAAGTGCAACATTTTAATTACATTTGTTCCATATTTTTTTAAAATGAAAATGATGTTGAAAACCTCCATGAATGCTCAACCCAGTTTTACCAGCTGTTACTGGTTATGTTTTTCATGTCCATGTTTCATTCGCAAGCCGATTTTCATTCATTTTCAGAGTCCGTTTTTATAAGAATTAACAAGATTAATGACACTTTCCTGCACACCATAGCTGGATGTGCGGGAACAGATGTTATTTAAATGGTAATTTTTGTTCTTTTTCTTTTGTATTCATTTCTGACAGCTTGCAGTTCTATTAAACTGCAAATCCATTTGGGAATGAATGCGCTCTTAGAACTTGGCAACCCATAATTAATCTCTTTGTTTGTGTGTCTCAGTCTCATTTGACTGATAGCTGCGTGTTTGTTTCAGTTTAAGGTGTGCCCGCAGAGTCAGTGTGTGTCCACTCCGGGTCACCGAACTGACCTGTTCCAGAGGGATCCGGGGAGCGTCCTCATCACTGACTTTTTCGGAAGTGTCCGCAAAGTGGAGATCACCAAGGACACTATCAATCTGACATCCCCTGTAGAGCCGCCAATACAGAGGCAAGTAGAACACAGCTGTTAGTCTCTAAATGATCCTGAGCATTGCAGTTTCCTGGAAAAATGCAGTGTATCTTCTGTAGTAAATTGAGTTAATTAGCCCATTCAGTGTTGGCTTTTATGGGACACAAAACATGATTATATATATATATATATATATATATATATATATATATGTAATATTATATAATGCAGTTGGCATTGAAAGCTTAAATACTAAACATTAATTTTTGTATAATGTGTGCGGGGCAGGGGATCATGCTCATCGGGATGGTGCATTGAAGTGACTACAAGATGTTTATAGGACAAACATTTGCTGCATTTTCTATGCTAACTTTGGAGGAAAAATGATTAAACTCTTCTATGCATACTCTTAAAGGGATACTCACCCTCTTGATATTCAAAACATGTACGACTTTCTTTCTTCTGAGGAACGTAATAGAAAATATTTTGATGAATGTTGGTAACCAACATTGCATTTTTGTCCATACGTTGGAAGTCAATGGAAACCATAACTGTTTAGTTTAATTTTTGGGTGGTCTGTCCCTTTAATATGGAAGCTTGTTTCCACCACTGAATAAAAAAATAATAATAATTAAAAAAGTCAATTCGACTTTTTATCTCATTATTCAGATTTTTTGTTTATATCTCACAATTCTTATTTTTATTTATTAATTTATTTTCTCTCAATTGCAAGAAAAAAGTCAGAATTGTGAGATAAGTCACTTTCATTCATTCATTCTTTTTTTAATACTGTGGCGGAAACGGGCTTCCATAATTTAATGTCCAGTTTAATGTGAACATTAAAATAATAATAATATTTCTTTTTTTTTTTTGGTATGGCATAATTAAGATTTTTTTAAATGAGTGTTTAGCGGTTAGAGCAGCAGCCCTAATTAACCCGTTTTAAATGTTCCAGAGCAAGCAGTCTAATTTAATGAAGCATTAGAAGCATTGTGGCTGTTCGCTATTAAAAACCTTATTAGTGATATTGACTCCTCTAATGACCCGCTAATGATTTTGCATACTGCGTCACCATGGTTACTGAGAAATCTCCCAAATTGGGTCACACAGGTTTCCAGTATGATAAATAAGGCTTTTCTAATAGAAAGATCTGTTAAATCTTCTCTTCAAAACAATTCAAAACACGTTTAACAGACAGTTCTCACTGTGAACTTTAGCAAGCAGAATTATTTAAACACCATTCAGAACCTCTTTTTTTAAACTCTACACACAGTTCTACTAACTTTCAGCTTGGCACAGCATTTAAATTCACATTCAAAATGCAATAATACTACCAAAACCCTTCATACATATCTCAAATCAACTCATTGTTCTATAACACTAGCAAAGATTGTCAGCCAGGGTTGTTTGTGTCCTTTGTAAAATTTCTTTAACCACAAAAATGACAACTGTTAGAATTCACTGCTGTATATGTTACATGGTCTATGTACAAATATATTCCTAAGTTTCCCCTTTTGTATAGATGGTAAGGAAATTGAAAGACTAACACTGTGTAGGAGTTCAGTTTCAGCTATATCTAATTGTTTCCATAGTATTTCATTCTTTAGATTGGGAATATACTGTATTTCAAAATGGCATTACTGTAGAAATGCAGCAAATTGCAGTCTTATTCAGTTTTGTATTATGTTAAGTTTTGAACATAATTTTTAACAGTTTTGGAAAGAGTATGCCAACATGCAAATGGCATGTTATGTACATTTTGTAGGAATTTTGGTGGTGGTTGTCTATAAGTGAGAAAATAATTCAATTTGCTGGAGTCATTGAATGCATTTTGTGCCAAAGCAATGATAAATGAGCCACATTTTAGCTCGTGAAGACTGCTGTTGAGCTCACTGTGAGAAGAGTTTTGAAAAAGTGACCCAAGTATGGATAAATGGGTGCTAGAGACTGTAAAAAACTAATAGCATTGCAGCATTGTGTTGTGAAACATGTAGGCCACAAGATGGCAGTAGTATACAAGATGGCAGTAGAAAAAAATATATTACAGGTTTTCTCTGTTGTCAAACGAATCTGTAATGCAGTCAGTGTGTGGATAAGACTATATAAACACATATTAGATTCCTTAGCATCATAGTGAAGTGAATTAACTTTATCTACTGTAGCTGTATTGGAATAGCAGCAGCACATATCATTAAAATCAAATTACATTTGGACCTATCTGAATCCTAATTCATCTGAAACTACAGTGCAATAAAGCCTGCATTATTGCATTATTATTTCATTATTTACTGTTGTCAGGGTTACAAGTCAGATTATGTAAACAACATTATACCTTTTTCTAATCTTCAAAGATCATTTATAACTAATTAGTGTGTAAAGCTAATTTAGCAAAACCGTTTAAGTCTTCCATGTCTTATGATTTTTAAAAATTAATATTGTTGGTTACCGGAAAAAAACAAAATTTCTGTTTGAAAACCAAGTTGGACTGAACCATGAACCAAGGAAACATTTTGAATGGGTCAGACTGAGCATGACGAGAAATAATAATGACCCCCCCTCCCCCATCTTAGTTCTAGCAAATACATTGTAATCCATGACAATTTCTAGTACCCCTCACTAAAATTCTACTCCTTATGAATAAAATTGCTATGACTAGAGTAAACGGCAGCTGAGATCTCAATGTATGACATTATCATATGTTGAATAAATAAATAATTAATAATAAGTTATGTATGATAATATATGAGATAAATCACTCTGTTCCACTGAAATGCAGCAGAACGCTGATCATTTTCACCAGGTATTGTGTGAATTGTCCTTCCTCTAGTGTTTTAATTATAAACATTAATAATTGTATTGTATAGATGCAGTTTTATGTTACTTAGAAGCAGTTTGTTTATGGTAATCACACTATGTTTTAAAAGTCAGTAAGATTGGGGTCAGGGCTTTTTAAATTTATTTTTTCTATTAATATATTTTGGTGCATTAAATTTATAAAAATTGACAGTAAAGATTATGGGCCCTATCATACACCCGGCGCAAGTCACGGCGAAAGCATTTTTGCTAGTTTCAGCCCGATGCAGTTCTCATTTTCCCGACCTGCGCCGCGTTGTTTAACCCTTGTGCGTCAATTAAAAAAAGTTACACATAGGTCCATACGCAGTACCAAATCTTCCCCATTAGATGCCAGCAAAACTCTGCTGGTGCAAACAGTGGTTGGATTTGTGATTTGCAGTAGAGTTTTTCTCTCTCAAATATTACAAGAACACACACACACAAT